GGATTTATTTTTTTACAAAATTTACTTCTGGATACTATCTTATGATCATAAACAAGCTTCTGTCCAAGTTTGGTACAAACCCAGGATAGTTTAAGAAAGTTATTAAAATTTTAAAAACTTTAACCACAGAGTGAATGTAATATTTCCCGGCAGAAAAACTAAGTCCATTTATAAGTAAAATACGGAAAAAATGGAATTTTATTTTTACAAAATTTACTTCTGGATACTATCTTATGATCATAAATAAGCTTCTGTCCAAGTTTGGTAGAAATCCAGGATAGTTTAAGAAAGTTATTAAAATTTCAAAATCTTTAACCACAGAGTGAATATTTGTGGACGCCGCCGACGACGCCGACGGAATGTAGGATCGCTTTGTCTCTCTTTTTCGACTAAAGTCGAAGGCTCGACAAAAATGTGTTTTTTGGGCCCTTTTTGGCCCCAAATTCCTAAACGTTTAGGGTAATTACCCCCAAACTCATACCCAGCTTTACCTTTGTGATAAGTAACCTTGTAGTACAATTTCAGAGAGATCCATACACTTACACACAAGTTATTGTCCTGAAACTAGAAAAATGCTTGTTTTTTGGCCCCTTTTTGGCCCAAAATTCCTAAACGTTTTGGGCAATTACCCCCAAACTCAAACCCAGCTTTCCCTTTGTGATATGGAACCTTGTAGTACAATTTCAGAAAGATTCATACACTTACACACAAGTTATTGTCCTGAAACTAGAAAAATGCTTGTTTTTTGCCCCATTTTGGCCCCTAATTCCTAAAATATTGAGGCAATTACCCCCATCATCAATCCCAGCCTTCCCTTTGTGGTATGGTACCTTGTAGTACAATTTCAGAGAGATCCATACACTTGAACACAAGTTATTGTCTGGAAACTAGAAAAATGCTTATTTTTGGCCCCTTTTTGGCCCCCAATTCCTAAATGTTTTGGCAATTACCCCAAAACTCAATTCCAGCTTTCCCTTTGTGATATGGAACCTTGTAGTACAATTTCAGAAAGATCCATACACTTACACACAAGTTATTGTCATGAAACTAGAAAACTGCTTGTTTTTTGCCCCTTTTTTGGCCCCTAATTCCTAAAATTTTGAGGCAATTACCCCCAAAATCAATCCCAGCATTCCTTTTGTGATATGGAACCTTGTGGTACAATGTCAGAGAGATCCATTCACTAACACACAAGTTATGTCTGGAAGTTACAAAAATGCTTATTTTTGGCCCCTTTTTGGCCCCTAATTTCTTTACTGTTGGTACCAGAACCCCCAAAATCAATCCCAACCTTCCTTTTGTGGTATTGAACCTTGTGGTAAAATTTCATAGAGATCCATTCACTTAAACTAAAGTTAGAGTGCGAAAACCAATGTGTCTTCGGACGACGACGACGACGCCAACGTCATACCAATATACGACCACAAAATTTTTTTTGCGGTCGTATAAAAAATTGACAAGCCATTGAAACATGCTCTAAATTGAAGAATTTACAGTTAAAAGTCCCATAACTCTAGAATAACAAATTCAACCAGAATAAGGTGATCTAATGATCCCTGATACTATGGCTCACAGCATAACTCTTATACGGTAAATACCCACCGTCAGAATCAAACTTGACCGGTATATTAATATGGTCTATAACATTGCCTTTAAATTCAAAAAGATACTATTAAGTGGAATATCCATAAAGGGGCATAACTTTCAGTAAGTGTCAAATCCCTCAAAATCAAACTTCACCTGTAGTTTATCGTCCACAACATTATGTTAAAATTAAAAGGTACTGTCAGGTAGTACTTTAGTTAACATCTGGAAACAAACAACTGCTAAAACTGACAAAATCAAACTTGAACTACATTTTATGGTTCATACTGACATTGTGTTAAAATCTAAAACCAAAATTGTGACGGGATAGATAGACATGAGCATCACTTTATACACCCCCCTTTTCAAGACAGGGTTATGTGTTACTTGGATGGAGAGTTGTCTCATTGGCACTCGTACCACATCTTCTTATATCTATTATAAAAATTGTCAAAGTTGATTTAATATATTGAATGACTTGACACAAGTTTACTCATAGTTTTTACTGGAAATCTCTTATATATCTATTTTCTATTCTAGTGAAGACTAATCTTCATGTTATGTCTATCCATGTTTGAACAACAAATTAAACATGCTCAATTTGGATCAATCTGTCACTACAGCCAACGAACTTAAATATCATTAGATTTTTTAACACTTCATTACTGTAATGTTTTCAATAAAAGTTTTATTTTTCTATTATCTCATAATCCATTAGCTATTCATAAATTGAATCACGTTAGTTTTTCTTGTTTTTTCCTCCCTGTAATATATCTGAATAAAAGTTTTTAGTCCTAACTATGCCAACTTTATTTGTAGGTTTTATTTTGTTGCTGTTGAAATATAATTATCTAAGGAAAAGTAGTAGGGCCATGGACCCCATATAATTTGCACTAATAAACAAATACTTTTTTCCTAATTTTCAAATCAAATAAACCAAACATTTGTTTATGCACTGTTTGCATCAGACAGTGTTATTCCCATAAAACATAGAACATTTAAGTTTGTAGCGAGATTAGCTATTTACATGCTTTTTAAATTAGGTCTATTTTCCTTTGGAAGTGAAAAACATTGGCCACACCCTTGACTCTACAAATAGGTTGTAAGAGGTTACATATAGAAATATACACAATCTCAGAAAAATGTTGATTTATGCATGTGAACAATGCTAAATTAAAAATTTGTAAGGGTTCCGCGGAACCCAGTGTCTTGCCTACTTTTGCTGTTAATCGCAGGCTCAACAAAAATGAAATGAGGAAAAAATTTAATAAAAATATTCCTCTCGATACAATTTTTTTATTGTAAGAAGCTTCTGTCCAAGTTTGGTAAAAATCCAGAATAGTTTATGAATCTAATAAATGTTTTAAAAAATTTAACTGCAGACTGTATCTAATGTTAACTGGAAGAAAAACTAAGTCCATTTATAAGTAAAATATGGATAAACAAGTACAAAATTTTAATAAAAATTTCCTTCTAGATACTAGCTTTTGATCATAAACAAACTTCTGTCCATGTTTGTTACAAATCCAGGATAGTTTAAGAAAGTTATCAAAATTTTAAAAACTTTAACCACAGAGTGAATGTAACGTTTCCTGGCAGAAAAACTAAGTCCATTTATAAGTAAAATACGGAAAAACAGGATTTTTTTTTTTAAAATTTACTTCTGGATACTATCTTACGGTATGATCATAAACAAGCTTCTGTCCAAGTTTGGTAGAAATCCAGGATAGTTTGGTAGAAATCCAGGATAGTTTGAGAAAGTTATTAAAATCTTAAAAACTTTAACCACAGAGTGAATGTAATGTTTCCTGGCAGAAAAACTAAGTCCATTTATAAGTAAAATACGGAAAACAGGAATTTTTTTTAACAAAATTTACTTCTGGATACTATCTTATGATCATAAACAAGCTTCTGTCCAAGTTTGGTAGAAATCCAGGATAGTTTAAGAAAGTTATTAAAATTTCAAAAACTTTAACCACAGAGTGAATATTTGTGGACTCCACTGACGAAGACGATGACGCCGACGGAATGTAGGATTGCTATGTCTCGCTTTTTCGACAAAAGTCGAAGGCTCGACAAAAATTAATTTAGACTTAAGTGTCAGACTGAATTTTAATTTTCAGGTATAATAGTGTCTTAGATGCATACTTACATCCACAAAGTTATGGGACTGTAGGTCCCTTATCAACTGAACTCAAGAAATAAAATTGATCTAAGACCATAAGCATGAAATTAAGGTCACAGTTTGCAGGTTGTTATGCTCATCTAGATGTATCCTTACTCCAAGGTTACTTTTTATCATGAAATGTATAAGTTAGTAAACCAATCAATATGAGTCTTGTGACCTCATTTTACGTTTGATAGTCAGTTTAATCAAGGTGCATATACATGTATATATCAGTATTTGAGAATTGGCACTACATTCATATGTACACAGATCTGTTTTAAGATTTTTCGTAGCATTTTTTTATAAAATTATTTTATTAATCCAAGTGAGTCAAATAATCGGTTTTCTCCTTTGGCAATGATATTTCTTGGCAGTAATGAATCAAATAGCAGTTACCAACACTCCCATGAATAGATTTTTGCTTCAAATTCAGTAATAAATACTTTTATCATGCCTTTGTTAAAATTAAAGCAATAAAAAATAAAATGCTTCACTGAGCGCAGCTGGATACGACCGCAGAGGTCCAACCCTGAACAGTTGGGGCGAAAATGGACACAATATTCGCGCTTGATACAGGTCTGAATTTGGATTGTAATTAAATATTTGACACATAATAGGTTTCTGACACCAAATAACTGTAGTCAAAGAACTAAGAATTGGTTATATGATTTGAATTTATATTCAATTTTTGGCTTTTGTGAAATACACTATGCTGTTGCGTATTGACCCCCCTCCAAAAAAAATTATTGTTTTTTACATCCCCCCCCCCCCCCCCCCAATTGTACAAATTTGTTTTTGGATTACCTCCCTAACACTGCTTTTAAATTGTCCATTAACCAGGAAACCCTTGTTTTTTCCCCTTTTTTGCCCTTAATTCCTATAGGTTTGAGCCATAACCCCCCAAAGCCAATCCTAACCATCCCTTTGTGGTATGGAAACTTGTGGTATAATTTTAGAGAGATCCATACACTTAAACACAAGTTATTGTATGGAAGATACAAAAATGCTTATTTTTGACCCCTTTTTGGCCCCTCATTCCTTAACTGTTGGTACCAAAACCCCCAAAATCAATCCAAACCTTCCTTTTGTGGTATTGAACCTTATGGTAAAATTTCATAGAGATCCATTCACTTACACTAAAGTTATTGTGCAAAAACCAATGTGTCTTCGGACGACAACGACGACGCCAACGTCATACCAATATACGACCGCAAAAATTTTTTGCAATCGTATAATGAGTTTTACTTACCACCTTTCCTTGGCAGCAGTATACCCAGTGGAGACTTGTGGATACAGTTAGAAACACCTTTGATAGAGCTGAAATAAAAAATTCTAGTTTAAGAACATTAATAGTATTTCTTGCTCTTTTTCATGTTGTATAGTAACAGTATAGTTGAACTCTTGTGAAATGTTCAATTCCTCCCTGTGTAATGCTGAATATAAGATGTCATGGCTATAATGTGAAGGAATATATACAAGTATTCAGTAAACAGGAAGTTGATAACCAATGAATGTGAAAACACATCTAAAGGTATATACACAATGTACATTCTCACATGGAGCTTGAGAATGAATTACAGGAAGTTCTGATTTGTAGTTTCTGAGAAAATAGGTACAAAAATTTCATGGGACATTCAAACAGAAACAAGGATGGATGGACATATGTAAACTAGTTTATTCTGTCCTTCAAAATTTGATATAAAAATGGTCAAACTCCATCAGAAAATTTCAAATACAAATGACTGTAGAGTATTCCAACTTACATATAATGGAAAACTATCTTACTGAGTACGAAAGCTTTCTGTCAAATTGTATCCGACGAGTTGTGTTAACAAGGTATCATATTGTTACTTACAAAGGTAAACATGATAGTGAAAGTTCAACAACTCAAACAGAATGACATTACAGAATCGTTCATACACAAGTCAGATAAAGGGGAGAAGAGGAGTTTCATTCACTGGTCATTGTGTATTACAATAGGTACAAAAATGGTCAATTCAAAATTATGGTCAAGTTTTGCATCTACACACAATAACAAACAATCTTACCAAATATGAAAGCTTTCTGATAAAGGGGGTAGAGGAGTTTCATTCACTAGTTATCATTGAAGATAAATATTAACAAAATAAAAGCCATAATAATAAAAACATCACCATATGTTTTTGAATTGACAGTAATAGTGGTAAATTTTCACCTTTGTAACTGAGCAAGGTCATTGAGATCTGTTTCTAGAGACTGTAAAGCCAAGTATGCTTTGGACTTCTGCTTCCTGCAAAAGAAATTAATTATTTTTTCATAATATCTGAAAATTAAGATGACAAAGCAAAAGCATGGTAAATATTTTTATTAACTTTTTTGTTCACAATTACCTTTTTTTGCTGAGAAAATATGGAAAAACGGCTATTACTATTAACTGATTATTCAAAGATAGAAAAGAGTTCTATTATGATAAACACTCGAAATTGTTAATTTCCGTTTTTTAATGTGAAATATGCAGATGAAAGGCAATAATAAAAACTAGTCACAAAAAAATTACATTTTCGTGTATCCAACGTCATTTTTCTCACACAAAAGGTTTAAAACACATAATAAACTGCTTCACTGTGGGCAGCTGGATACGCCCGCAGAGGTCCAACCTGAACAGTTGGGGCAAAAATGGACACAATATTCAAGCTTGATACAGGTCTGAATTTGGATTGTAATTAAATATTTGACATATTATAGGTTTCTGAATAAATGTAGTCAAAGAACTTGAAATTGGTTATTCTTGCTGTTGTGCAATACACTGTGCTGTTGAGTAATACTTAGTAAATCTGTCGACTGTTGTCAGACTATAAACAAATAAAATCTTATAACTTGGAAACATAAAATCGAAAATTTATAAAAATCAAAAGGGAGCTTACAAAAATAGATATAAACAATTTACCAAAGTTTCATAAAAAATGCTGAAAGCATTTTTGAGTTATTGTCCGAAAACTGGAAAATCACCCTTTTTGTAATGAATAAAACCCCATAAATCGGTAACGTATAGTCTGAAATTTATAAAAATCAAAAGGGAGCTCATGTCGATAGAAATAAATAATTCACCAAAGTTTCTTGCAAATTGGTGAAATTGTTTTTGAGTTATTGTCTGAAAACTGTAAAATCCCCCCTTTTTTAATGAATAAAACCCCAAAACCTGGAAACGGTAAATCCGAAATTTAAAAAAAACAAAAGGGAGCTCACGTCAATAGATATGAACAATTCACAAAAGTTTCTTGCAAATTGGTGAAATTTTTTTTGAGTTATTGTCCGAAATCTGGAAAATCCCCCCTTTTTTAATGAATAAAACCCCAAAACTTGGAAACAGTAAATCCTAAATTTATAAAAAAAATGAAAGGGAGCTCGCGTCAATAATTATGAACAATTCACAAAAGTTTCATGCAAATTGGTGAAATTGTTTTTGAGTTATTGTCCGAAAACTGGAAAATCCCCCCTTTTTTAATGAATAAAACCCCAAAACTAAGAAATGGTAAATCTGAAATTTATAAAAAAACAAAAGGGAGCTCACGTCAATAGATATAAACAATTCACCAAAGTTTCATCCATATTGGTTAAAGCGTTTTTGAATTAATGCCCGACATGTTGACGACGGATGGATGGACGGACAGACGGTCAACAGTATACCATAATACGTCTCGTAAACGGGCGTATAAAAATGGTATTGTCATGTATAATTAACCATTAAGCAACGATCCTTACTCACTAAAATGTATCACTGCCGAGTTTGACACTGATTTGTAGAGAAACAAGGAAGATAAGAACTTATTTCCAAAAACGTCACTTTTTCTCCCTGCACATGGCAAATTAATTCAGGCCAGGCAGACTGCGCACGAAATTTGAACAGGCTACACAAAGTCGCGGAACAAACAAATCAGTAAGGAAAGTGTTAAGCAAAAATAAGAAAATCTAAACAAACTTTTGAATGAATTGGCTTTTGAGATTAAACAAAATACTTTATTTTCAACTCTATCAACTCATTCAGACTACATGTCAAGAAAATCAAATCTTAACCAGTGTTCTCCCCAGGATTTTTTTATAGCGCTGTGGTAAGCACACGATATTAGATTGATTCACCTTTCGCATTGGCAATGCAATGTTACATTTACTTATAACTGCCATGTTGGTTATATTATATTTAATAGACAAAGACCTGCATTTTTTATACATATGCTATAACAGAAATGGAAATAAGTTACATTTTTATTATTTAGCTTTAAAAATTAAAATGCCTAGATAATATAAATAACTTGATTTCATTACCACCCCTCTCCACCTTTTCTTTAAAGAGTAAGTATATACAATGTAGCACAGTAGGTATATCTTTTCTCTCACTTTTAGTTGTTTGACTTAAACTAGTTATGTATTTCATATTTACAAACAAAATTGGGACTTTTTTCATTGACTTTTATTTACATCTTTCAAATTACGAATTCGCAATTAAAATTGGTATATTATATACTTTCAAAGGATATCAATGAGATGGCAGCCATCTCTGTGGGCCCTGCTGTGAATAATGTGTGGTAAAAATTTTTTGCATCTTTACCATAGGACATGGGGTTGTCAACTGAAACTAAAGTTTTTGACCTTGACCTTTGACCTAGGAAGTTGTACATAAATTATGACACACCCTCTGGTGTTGGTTAATATACATGTCAAGTATAAACTTTGAAATCATAACGGTTCTCTAGATATAGAGTGGACACAATTTGCTACGGACGGACTGAAGGACGGACAGACTGGTCACTATAGGGTGTCCGCAATTTGGCAGGGCCCTAATTACTTTCTATAAGTACTGAAATGTTATCACAGACATGTTTAAAAAAAGGCTAACATATACCAAGATGCTTCAAGATAATTTTTTTTAACGATTTTTAAATTTTTTTCTTAAGGTGGATTATCAATTAAAAAAATTATATTTGCCAATTGAAACTACAACCTTTAAATGTTGTGTTTGATTTATTTATAAATATTTGAATGATTGCCACCAGAAATATTTGACAAGATTTGACTTGGTCTTCACTGGTTTTAGTACTTTATCCCTCCTAAATTGTCTCCCTTCCGCAACTTCCTGTTCCTGTTTATACTTTGACCAAATGGCTGTTTCTATGTATCATTAAATGCCATTTCTTATCCAAGCAATCCTCTGTTAATATTAATTTTAAAATAATATTCAATTAATATTTATTGAAATTTGGATGGCAAAACACGATATTTTATATTTATTTACAAGATTTTTTCGTTTTGTTTTATCCTCTATTTCATTTTGAAAAAGCAATGCAAGGACAAGTAATCGTAAAATACGGGCTTGTAAGGAATCCTTGGACAACGGGAATGCTTCCCTAAAGCAATGCATGTTCAACAGTTTAGTTGTAAACATGAGACAGTCTTGAAATAATCGTAGATAATTAAAAAAATGGACAAGACCACGCTGTCAGAGAAAGAGTAAAACTTTACTTAACTACTTTGGGAATGATTTATTGAGCACCATCCACCCTTTCATGAAGTTTCTGCACCTTTTTCTTCTTAAAGAGAAAAACTCTGGGAAATAAATAGGTCTTTTTGACAGTAAAAGTTCTGCCAATAACGCCATTTTGTTCTTTCATTGAACTGGTCCCTCTGATATTTGACTTCGTCAGGTGGATAAACAATCTCAGACAAATCAACCAGTCAATCACGTGATCGAAATTGTACAGAAAAACACCAGAAATTTGAAAATTGAAAAACAATAGCACTGATATTTGATTGGATACCGCTGCGGTCTGCCCAATAGCACAGCGCTGATTACCACAGCGCTAAAACAGCCTAGGGAGAACACTGTTAACATTAGTCATTAAAAAGGCTCCTAAAAATGTATCACATAACAAGCATTATCATGAAACCTCACAACTCACTGAAACCTCCCCGTTAGATATTCATTTCTCCCTATTTGGCTGCCAGAAGTCTCAATTCTCTCTACATTATGAAGTGTGGTGACCCCTGGGAATGTAGAAAGCATAAATTTTTTAAGCAGTGAAACAGGTTTTTTCATCAGTTATCTATCTGTCTGAGGCATGTGTATGTACTACATGCAAGTGTCCCTTGCTGTCTTCTTATTGACCACAGAAAAAAACTTACTTGTCTCCAGGTATCTTGTAAATAGAGGAAAACCCTTCCAAATGTCCAGAAAATTCATCATACTGCTCTCTACTGAGGACTTCTGTCAGCTCTTCACAACTCTGAAATCAATAATTCATCATGTACAGTGATTTTGCTAGCGCTCGTCATTTTCGTCATTTACAAAACGGTTTTCAAAATGACGAAAGTATTCCAAATCAATTTCGTCACTTAATTTGGAAAGAGTAAAAATATTTTCGCATGAAAATACTATAATTCTACCTGTCTTATTGTTTCTGACAAATTTATGACCCTCGGCTAATTAACATTTACAACAGGTGTTATAAGTTGTGATTACTGATAATCCGCTTATCGCCATAGGATGGGTCACTAATCCGTTAATTATTTATCAATCTCATAATTGATCATCATAATTATTTTCCCCAGTAAATCAGTCAGTCGGCATTTCAATTTCAATATTTATCAAACAAGCACAATTTGCAGTTTGTTTTTCGTAGTTTCTTCATTTGAGTTTTCCCTCGGACAGGTCGCATTTTAATTTCAATATTTCTCATACGATCTTAATTTGCAGTTCGCTTGTCGTAGTTTCGTCAAATGAACGTATTTTCGTCATATTTGATATAAAGTTTTTTAATAAAAAAGTTTCGACAATTTCGATTAAAATGATAGAACTTTATTCATAACATCAGAAATGTTTTCACGAGTCAAACAGGTGCTTCCTTTACGATGAACTGTGCGTGCGTGAAAGTATTCTTATGAATTTAAAGACACTAAAACTTAAAATACGAAATTAATTAAGTGTCAAATAAAACAAGAGAGACAAGTATAGATCTTATTAAGCAAATTGAATTTAAAAAATTATAATTTCCTGCCTTTTTTAAACACACACCAATCCGTATATGAATCCGGATTCATTCTGAATTTATTATCCACTTGTCACTTCCTGATTTCATTTCATTTGGAATTCGAAAGTAAACGTGATCTATTTATGATAAATTTACAATTCAAAGTCATTAGAATTGTTCCAACTTTATTGAACGCTTTAAAATGTTTTTAAGGATAATGAGTATGAATAATGCACCAAAATATTCCTTACAAGTTCATTTATGCTGTGATTCCTGGTTTAAAAAAATGGATCCCAACTTTTGCTCAAATTGCTGATTAGGATATACCCTGAAACTAACTGAAGTGAAATTGTGAACTACAAATGTAGATTTCTAAATCTTATATCCTAATCTTCGTACAAAAGTGCCACAACCAGTCAAATCATGCAGTAACTGCCTAGTATGCCTTAGTCCTTTAAAGTCTGACAAAGATGTATAGATAGTAATATACATCCTAGGTCCCTTGCTGCTACCCAAAATAAGGTTGATTTTACATCCCGCACAAAAGTGACTTAAGCCCTCAAAATCCTAGCTTAAACCCTGATCATGCAAAAAAAAAGCTGAGTTATTCCTTTCAAATCATTTCTTATATTTTTATGGATAACCATTGCTTAATAATGTTTAGCTTTTCATTTTCCCTGCAGGGAGTGGAGTTACTCATGAATGACTCACATGTGAAATAAATGTGGATAGTGTCCACATGTGGACACAGATGATGCCACCGCTTGCATATCATATAGTTATAAAGGGACATAACTGAAGAACGGTAAAAGTGACGCTACCCAAATTTGAACTTGATCTGAGTTTTGTGGTAATAAGCATTGTGTGTAAGTCTCATAACATTTCGTTGAGGCTAACTTAAGTAGAGAACAGAAACTAAAAATTCAGCAATTTTTCTATTTGTAAACACGCATTACTTTAGTACGGTTGTGTATAAGTTTTATAACATTTGGTTGAGACAAACTAAAGTTAAAGAACAGAAACGAAAAATTCAGAAATTTTCATGTTTATAAAGGGACATAACTCAAGGATGGTAAAGTGTTGCCACCAAATTTCATACTTAATCTGTATTATGTAGTAATAAGCATTGTGTATAATTATAAGTTTCATAACATTTGGTTGAGGCAAACTAAATAAAGTAAGAAAACAGAAACAAAAAATTTGTACTTGATCTTAGTTTTGTGGTAATGAATATTGTGTATAGGTTTCATAATGTTTGGTTGGGGCAAAATTAAGTTACAGAATGCAAACTAAAAATTTTGCAATCTTTTGATTTATAAAGGGGCATAACTCAATAATGGTTAAAGTGACACTACCCAAATTCAACTTGATCTGTGTTTTATCAGTGGAAGTCAAAATTAAACATTGCATTGTATAAAGCATTAATTGTAGTTGATTCAACTATAATCATGGACAATGGAACATAACTCCAATTTTCTTTAAATGCTCCGCTGGGGCGCAGCTTGATACGACCACAGAGGTCTAACCCTGAACAGTTGGGGCAAGTATGGACACAACATTCAAGCTTGATACAGCACTGAATTTGGATTGTAATTAAATATTTGACACAGCATAGGTTTCTGACACAGAATGAATGTGGTCTAAGAACTTAAAAAATTTTAATTTACCTATTCAAACCATATCATTATTATTTGCTTTTATATATAAATCAGAAATAACCAATTTAAAATGGAAAATTTTAAAGAAAAAAAAGGGAAAAAAAATCCCCCCCCCCAATTTTTTGAACCCCCTTATGATTCATCACCCCCAAACTCAATCCCAGCCTTCCCTTTGTGGTATGGTACCTTGCAGTACAATTTCAGAGAGATCCATACACTTGAACACAAGTAATTGTCTGGAAACTAGAAAAATGCTTGTTTTTTGGCCCCTTTTTGGCCCCAAATTCCTAAACGTTTAGGGCAATTACCCCCAAACTCATACCCAGCTTTCCCTTTGTGATATGGAACCTTGTAGTACAATTTCATAAAGATCCATACACTTACACACAAGTTATTGTCCTGAAACTAGAAAAATGCTTGTTTTTTTGCACCTTTATGGCCCCTAATTCCTAAAATTTTGAGGCAATTACCCCCAAAATCAATCCCAGCATTCCCTTTGTGGTATGGTACCTTGCAGTACAATTTCAGAGAGATCCATACACTTGAACACAAGTTATTGTCTGGAAACTAGAAAAATGCTTATTTTTGGCCCCTTTATGGCCCCTTATTCCTAAACGTTTTGGGCAATTACCCCCAAACTCAATTCCAGCTTTCCCTTTGTGATATGGAACCTTGTAGTACAATTTCATAAAGATCCATACACTTACACACAAGTTATTGTCATGAAACTAGAAAACTGCTTGTTTTTTTTCCCTTTTTGGCCCCTAATTCCTAAAATTTGGAGGCAATTACCCCCAAAATCAATCCCAGCATTCCCTTTGTGATATGGAACCTTATGGTACAATGTCAGAGAGATCCATACACTAACACACAAGTTATGTCTGGAAGTTACAAAAAAGCTTATTTTTGGCCCCTTTATGGCCCCTAATTCCTTAACTGTTGGTACCATAACCCCAAAAATCAATCCCAACCTTCCTTTTGTGGTATTGAACCTTGTGGTAAAATTTCATAGAAATCCATTCATTTAAACTAAAGTTAGAGTGCGAAAACCAATGTGTCTTCGGACAACAACAACAACGACGACGACACCAACGTCATACCAATATGCGACCACAAAATTTTTTTTGCGGTCGTATAAAAAAAGCAAGGCTCACAAAATGATATCATAAGCTCCTTCCATTCATTTTAATATACAAAGTATTGACCTTTACCATGCACACACACATTCCAAACTTATTTGCAACAAACTCTCTGGTGGTGGGCAACAACAACACCAAGCATGATATACATGTATATATCTTTCACGACATTCAAAAGCTCTGAGTCTGATGTGACTTTGTATATTTTATACAGAGATGTAAAGTTTTTGACCTTAACTTTGCAATAAATGTAAAAGCTTGCATTTCTATCACCTTAACCAGTTAATCAAGAAGGATGTGAATTTTGAATCACATAACTAACCATGGCTTCTCCCTGGTGACAAACTCTGACATCTTTTACAATTCCCTTTGTATCCATGGAGATTTCAACAGTAAACATTTCACAGCTGATGCATGCTGGTTTATCTGGAAGTGCTGGTGGATTAAACCTCAAGCTTTGCTGCCGGGCAATGGATTCCAGTTTTTCCAGCAGGGTTTGCTGATTTTCAACTGAAAAATATGTTTTCAATTACATTTTTATAACCACTTTTTTTTTTTGTTACAAATCATTCCCTCCTTTTAATTTATAATTTTCCTCAATCAATGGAAAATAATTTTTTTTCTTATTACATATCCTTTCACATAATCACAGAAGCTGACCATAACCCAAAGTTGTTTATCTATATTTTGATAAACCTACATTTAAGCAAATTCCTGAATTTTATATCAATAATCATTAATATTTATTCTAAGCAAATATAGTGTGAAACATGTTGTACTAGAATTTATTGTTTTAAAACCAAAGTTTAAAATATCAAACAGATGGCACATGTGTTCAACCGCTGTGTAATGAAATTTCTGTATCTATACATACAGCTCTTAGTTGTAACTCAAAACAACTCACAGTCACCTGAATTGATAACTTGGATCTGCATGTAACCACATATAAAATAAATGCTTCACGGGCGCAGCTTGGTACGAACGCAGAGCTCGAACCCTCAACAGTTGGGGCAAGTATGGACACTAAATTCAAGCTTGACACAGCTCTGAATCTGGTTTGTGATTAAATATTTGACACATCATAGGTTTCTGACACATAATGAATGTGGTTCTGGAACTGAAAAATTTGAAATTGCACATGTATCAAAGAAACCCAAGAATTAAATTTTTAATGAAATCAAATAAAGTTTAATTTTGGACCCTACAAGGTTAGATTCAGCATATCAAAGAACCCCATATACTCAATTTTTTTTTTAAATCAAATTTAATTTTGGACCCTGATTTGGACCAACTTGAAAACTGGGCCTAAAACCAAAAATCTTAATACATGTTTAGATTCAGCATATCAAAGAACCCCTTGAATTCAATTTTTTTTTTAAATCAAACAAAGTTAAATTTTGGACAGTTTGGACTATAATGTGGATTTATTTGAAAACAGGCCCTAAAAATTAAAAATCTAAATACATGGTTTGATTCCCTTATCAAAGAACAACAATAATTCAATTTTTGATGAAATCAAACAAAGATATATGTTGGACCCTTTGGACCTTAATGTATACCAATTCAAAAACAGGGCCCAAATCCAAAATCTAAATACACGGTTAGATTCAGCAGATTAAAGAACCCATAGAATTCAAGACTTTGAATTAAACCCAATTGAAATTGGTAAAAAAAATAAGCAATTTATACAAAGTATTATTTTTGGCCCCTTTTTCCTAAACGGTTTGGGACATAACCAAAATCAATCTCAACATTCCTTTTATGGATCCTAAACTGTTTGGGCTTTAACCCCCAAAATCAATCCCAACCTTCCTTTTGAGATATGGAACCTTGTGGTACAATTTCATAGATCCATACACTTATACATAAGTTATCGTCTGGAAACCAAAATGTCTTCGGAAGACAAGAAAAATGCTTGTATTTGGCCCTTAATTTCTAAACAGTTAGGACAATAACCCCCAAAATCAATCCCAACCTTCCTATTGTGGTATGGAACTTTTTGCTACAATTTCATAGAGATCCATACACTTATACTCAAGTTATTGTCTGGAAACCAATATGTCTTTGGACGACAAATGTCTTCGGACGATGATGCAGACATTTCTATAACATAATACAAACGTAAAAAATTTTGAGGTCGTATAAAAATGGCATCTCTCCAACCCAATTGGACTTTTTCAGTCTGCCATTAGCCAGTTTATTAAATATTTTGAATTGACTTTTTTAAAATTCAAAATTTAGAATAAATTCTTCCCATGATTCATTTTGTTATGTACTGCAGTGTTTGTTTCCTATCTTTATATTGTCCTGAAGACACCAACCACTCTTAAGCGGCAAAATATGTTAATCACCATAAAATATTTCCTTGCAGTAACCAGGATGGTGCTGACTTTTTATAATTTATGAGGTTTTAAAACAACTGAAGTATACTCCAGTATCCATTCTGATGACTCTACCAGCTTGTACTGCCAAAAGGTGTTGGTTCACTTTACATTTTTATTTTTTATTTTTTATTTTCTGACATGTATATTTATTAAAGAACAGACTTCAGCCTTAAAATTTAGCATGACCACTGGAATGTGAAAATTGGGTCAAAGACATGTATATTCATAAATATTTGGAATAGTCAAAGAAAATCCTAATCCACCTTTAGTATGTGTATGTGACAAAAATATAAACCTTCTAGTTGTAAAACTGTGGGAAGAGCTGAGTGGTTGAACAGTGCAACATTTATGGAAGTATTAAAAAAAAAATATACTAGGTTCACCTGACCTCATTTTGTTAACAGTGCACTTTAAAATTTCTAAAATCAACCCAACCTTCAGTTTGTGCAAGAACAATTTGCACAATTTAAACATTCTAGCTTAAGATAATTGTAGGAGGACTTAAGTAGAGAAAAAGTGCACCATATAGTTAAACTTTATAAAGACTGACTTCAACATTGTTTAACTGTCAATTGGTTAAAATTCACAAAAAAACGAAATCCTTATAATATACACACTTAGCTGAGCTGTCAAATTGACAGCAAACATGATTTCTGTATTTCAAAAGCCCTTTCTTGCTTGTTTGACCTGCCATGTTCTATGCCTATGTATATTTTCCAGCAAAAGTAAAAATAATCATCAATATCGAATTTGACATTCATTTGGTTTTTGGTTAAAAATAACATTTTAAAATCTAAAATGTATTGGTTGAAAGGTTGAAAGTGCCATTTTTCAATCTATCAAGGGCCATAATTCCTGAACAGTTAAAGTTAATAGAGTCAATATCGAAAGTGACCTCCATTTTGTCATCAATAACAACATATCAAATTAAAAAGCATTCTTGGAACGGCAAATAATCTACTACATGGAAAAGACAGAAAGTGTCATTTACCAATATACCAAGAACCATAACTCCAGAAGGGCAAAAGTCAAAATTGTCAATATTGAACTTGACCTCCATTTTGTCATCAGTAACAACATATAAAATTTGAAAAACATTGGTTGAACAGTTTATGAGTTTTTGCATTGAAACTGTTGGCAGCCGACCGCCCCTCATACTTTACTAGTTCAAAAACAAGATTTTTTCCCTTCGCCTTCGGAAAACCTGGATAATAATGCAGGAGTTGTGTTTGTCCACACAACTCCTGCATTATTATCCACCATGTAAAAGCATATATTCAAAATTGAACAAATACACAGGAGAACGATATACAGCACAGCAGATCTGTTGCATAGACAAGATTCCATGTGGATATTAATAGTCATTTTTTTATGAGTCCTACGTATAGGAAAATAGCAAATATTAGAACATTGCAAAACTTACTAATTTTTAGTGGTTCGTCTTAATTATTAAACTTGTATAATAATGAAAAAGAAATTTATAAAAGTGATTTCTTTATTACTATATATATCTTGAATTGTATAATTTTGTTCAAACCCAATTTTTAGTCTAATGATAAAATTAATTATCATGAAGATATGTTTTTGAAAACTACTATATCCAAGCTTTACCTACAAATATGATGATACAAAATTACAAATGAAACAAGATTCCAATAGGTCCTAAATTGATGATTTTCTGCAACCAACCAATAAATTGCTTCGCCAAGCACAGCTGGATACGACTGCAGAGGTCAAACCCTGAACAGTAGGGGCAAAAATGGACACAATATTCATGCTTGATACAGGTCTGATTTTGGATTGTAATCAAATATTTGACACACAATAGGTTTCTGACACAGAATAACTGTAGTCAAAGAACTTAGAAATGGTTATATGATTTGAATTTATATTAGATTTTTTGCTTTTGTGCAATACACTTTGCTGTTGCGAAACTCCCCCCCCCCCCCCCCCCCTCCTTTTTTTGCAAAAAAAAAAAATTGATGAACTTTTCTTTGTAATTTCCTAAATCTGAAATGAGAAAAAATTGTCCCCCCCACTCACAATTTCTTTTTTACCCCCCTCCCCAATTTTTTTTTCACTCCCCCCCCCCCCCCCCCCCCCCCACTTTTTAAAAAAGAAAAAAAATCTTTCCCTAAAGATATGGTCATAATCTCAATTTCAAATTTCCAATGGAGTTTGCAACCATAATTACCCATTTAAATACATCATAACCCATTTAAATACATCATAAAAGTTTTAAAATAGAAAATGACATACCATCTTTTGGTATGTATAGTGCGCACATTTATACCCAGGGTCATGTTTCTTGTAAGAGGGGTGCACGTTATACATGCGTACAGACATTTTCTTAAGTCTTTTTTCAGGTCCAAACTCCCACAAAGAAATTTCCAGGAGAAGTGAGGAGTACGAATATTTTTGCTAAAACCTGGATTGTTTTTATGTTTTACATGTTATATTTGTAATATGTATATTATTGCTCTTGATTTGTCATGTTTTATTCAAATAAAAAACATTTTATATCTCTGTAGTTACGTTTATCTTGTAAATTTGTCCATCTGTTTGCAATCCGGAAATTTGCCATGTCTTAATAAAGACACAATAAAGCTTTTGTTGTCGGTTAAATTAGCCTCTGTGTTCCTTGTTGTCATAACTTACTGTTTTTGTATGTTTTCATCATGGAGATTAGAAGAAAAGATTATGAAAATTGAATAAACCAGGCTCGTTTTGAAAAGATAAACCACCATTTTTTCTAATGTATCAGGTGATCGCCAGTTATGTGGGCCAGTCATGTGACTTGATATTGTAAAGTGATGATTTAGTCTATGAGAAGTTTATTTTTATAAATTCGTTTCTACTTTGTAACTTTTAAATAACTGTTTAAAACCGTTCAAGAAATTATAATTGAAAACTGATTGAGGTGTGATAATCAGGATTAACAGCTAGAATCAACAAACAAATAAAATGCTCCGCAGGGCGCAGCTTGATACGACCACAGAGGTCTAACCCTGAACAGTTGGGGCAAGTATGGACACAACATTCAAGCTTGATACAGCTTTGCATTTGGATTGTGATTAAATATTTGACACAGCATAGGTTTCTGACACAGAATGAATGTGGTCTAAGAACTTAAAAATTTTAAATTGGACATTCACCTATTATGGTCCAATATCCAAAATCTAAATACATGGTTAGATTCAGTATATCAATGAACCCCAAGAATTCAATTTTTGATGAAATCAAACAAAGTTTAATTTTGGACCCTTTTGACCTCAATGTGGACAAAGTTGATAACGGGGCCCAAAAATCAAAAATCTAAATACATGGTTAGATTCAGCATATCAAAGAACCCCATATATTCAATTTTTGTTGAAATCAAACAAAGTTTAGTTTTGGACCCCGATTTGGACCAACTTGAAAACTGGGCCCATAATCAAAAATCTAAATACATGTTTAGATTCAGCATATAAAAGAACCCTAAAAATTCAATTTTTGTTAAAATCAAACTAAGTTTAATTTTGGACCCTTTGGACCTTAATGTAGACCAATTTGAAAACAGAACCAAAAATTAAGAATCTAAATACACGGTTAGATTCGGCATATCAAAGAACCCCAATAATTCAATTTTTGATGAAATCAAACAAAGTTAAATTTTGGACCCTTTGGACCTCAATGTGGACCAATTTAAAAATGGGGCCCAAAATCCAAAAACTGAATACACGGTTAGATTCAGCATATTAAAGAACCCCAAGAATTCAAGAATAAAACCCCATTGAAATTGATCAAGAAATAAGCAATTTATACGAAGTATCTTCTTTTGCACAATACTGTGCAATTGAATATTTCTTGCTATTGCGCAATACTGTACAATTGACAATTTCTTGCTATTGCGCAATATTGTGCTATTGGATATTTCTTGCTATTGCGCAGTACTGTGCAATGGAAGATTTCTTGCTATTGCACAATACTGTGCAATTGAAGATTTATTGTTATTGTGCAATACTGTGCAATTGAAAATTTCTTGTTATTGCACAATACTTATTATTTAATAATTTACACATCCTGTTTGGTGTGTATCTCCTACCATATCATTATTATTTGCTTTTAAATATAAATCAGAAATAACCAACTTAAAAAGGAAAATTTTAAAAGAAAAAAAAAGGAAAAAAAGAAAAAAAAAGAAACCCCCCCCCCCCCCCAAATTTTTTGAACCCCCTTATGATTCATCACCCCCAAACTCAATCCCAGTCTTCCCTTTGTGGTATGGTACTTTGCAGTACAATTTCAGAGAGATCCATACACTTGAACACAAGTTATTGTCTGGAAACTAGAAAAATGCTTATTTTTGACCCCTTTTTGGCCCCCAATTCCTAAACGTTTCGGGCAATTACCCCCAAACTCAATTCCAGCTTTCCCTTTGTGATATGGAACCTTGTAGTACAATTTCAGAAATATCCAAACACTTACACACAAGTTATTGTCATGAAACTAGAAAAATGCTTGTTTTTTGCCCCTTTTTTGGCCCCTAATTCCTAAAATTTTGAGGCAATTACCCCCAAAATCAATTACAGCCTTCCCTTTGTGATATGGAACCTTGTGGTACAATGTCAGAGAGATCCATACACTTACACACAAGTTATTGTCTGGAAGTTACAAAAATGCTTATTTTTGGCCCCTAATTCCTTAACTGTTGGTACCATAACCCCTAAAATCAATCCCAACCTTCCTTTCGTGGTATTGAACCTAATGGTAAAATTTCATGGAGATCCATTCACTTAAACTAAAGTTAGAGTGCGAAAACCAATGTGTCTTCGGACGACGCCGGACGACGACGACGACGCCGACGACGCCAACGTCATACCAATATACGACCAAAAAATTTTTAATTTTTGCGGTCGTATAAAAATAAAAATAATGAGATTTTAACAATTTATTACAGCACTAATGATGTTAATGATAATCATTTGACTGAATCGTAATTATGTTATTGTTTCAATCAGAACATTAATTTGGATATTTAATCTTGTCCTTGATACTCAAACAATCTTTTAAATTTGGTTTTAAAAAAACAAACTTAAATATAGATTTATCTCAATCTAATGAAATTCTTATTCATTTGTCAGAATATTTGCAACTTCATATTAATTACGTATTCCGTACGGAATTTTCCGACATTGGTGTCCATTTAAAAAACTTCCTGTTTACCGATAGACTTCTTGTTAGTCGATTTTGGAGCTGTAACTTTTCCGAAAACCTCTATGAGTCTTATACGAACAATAAACTTTTTTCTCACGTTTCTTGGACCATAAAGGGGGTGCGCACTATACACCCCAAATGACGGTACATAATCATGGCTAAAATTAATATTCCTTAATCAGCATTTTTAAATAGTAACTTTTAAAAATAAATTGACAGCTAATCACCTCAAGACAATACAACATTTCTTTATACATAATTTAAAAGCAGTGTAAGGGAGGTAATCCAAACATAACATTGTACTTTTTTTTAATTGTCCATTAACCAGGAAACCCTTGTTTTTCCCCCTTTTTTGCCCCTAATTCCTATAGGTTTGAGCCATAACCCTACAAAGCCAATCCTAACCATCCCTTTGTGGTATAATTTCAGAGAGATCCATACACCGTTCCACAAGTTATTGTCTGGAAACTAGAATTAACAGCTGCGCCATGAGCGCATGATACGCCCGTCGTCTTGTGTGTGAATTTTTATGCAATAATCATAAATAGTTTCTGACATACGGCGCGACATGCGAAAACCCCCCTTTTTTTTACAAAAAACTCAATATCTCTAAAATAAAATTTTGAATAAAAACCAAAAAGTATACAGATCTTTAGATTAATATAACTAAGAAGTGTGTAAAATTTTAAGCAATAATCATAAATCGTTTTTGAGATAGGGTGCGACATGTGAAAAAAAACACACACCTGTTTTAGTTACTAAGTCCTGTAACTCAAAAAGTTTTAATCTTATTTTCACCAAAAAGTATACAGATCGTTTGACCATCATTAGAAACAACTATGTTAAGTTTCATGAAATTTTGATAAGTTGTTCTCAAGTTACGGTGCGACATGTTTACGCCGGACAGAGACGGACAGACGACATTTGTATACCATAATACGTCCCGTCAAAATTTTGACGGGCGTATAAAAATGCTTATTTGGGCCCCTTTTTGGCCCCTAATTCCTAAACTGTTAGGACTATGACCCCCAAAATCAATCCCAACCTTCCTTTTGTGGTTATAAACCTTGTGTTTAAATTTCATAGATTTCTATTTACATTTACTAAAGTTATTGTCCGGAAACCAAATGTCTTCGGACGACGCTGACAACGACTTGATACCAATATAAAAAGTATTCACTAAACTGCTCTCATAATATGTTACCTTTAATTGCCTTTTGTAGCTTGTCCACACATGACAGTATGCTGGACCTCTCCAATGCATCTGATTGGCAACGCTTGTCCTATAAATTAATGATAAAACAAGTAATATTACTATGTGATACACCCAAGGGCACAGGACATTTGCATTTTTTTACCTGTAACACAAAAGGACATTTGCCCCCCAAAAACTATGGACATTTGCACTTTAAGCTTTGATACACCTACATGAAATTGACCGGACATTTTTCACATTTTATCTATAAAAATTAACCTGTAAATGGAATTATTATTTTTACATGTATGACAAATTTAGGTGTGTTTGTGGTATGTTTCAGAATTTCATGGATGGAACATTCAAATGTTGCCATAAATTCTCCAAACAGATTTATACGACTCATGGAATTAAAAATGGAAACTATACTCCTCTTGTGTTCATCCTTTGCCTGGAAAGTCAGCTGTTGAGCTGAACTCTTATCATCTGCAATCATTGTTTATCTCAGCCTCTTTCAATTAGTGAAGATCTAAATTTGATTTTCAAACCAACGGCTGTTCAAGTTGACTTTGATTGATTGATTGATTGTTGTTTGCTTTACGCCACATTAGCACATTAGCACAGAAAGGCTATATCGCGGCGAAAGTTGACTTTGAAGAAAGAGTCATGGTTGTTATTAGGATATTATTTCCACCTGCCCTTTGGAAATGTTTTCCTTTTCATCTCCAACACAACCATGTTGGCAAAAGATTCAGTCATTAGTACCCATGCATATTTTTGAGTGAGGCACATAAAGAAAATAATAAATTCTGATACAAACAAACCAATACATTTGAAAAGGTTAAAATTTTCATAAATTTTGACAGCAGGAAACAATTCAGGATATGTTCTACATGTATGTGATTGTCAAGTTTCAATAAAATCCAAGCTGACTGACTTCTTTATGTATTATACATTTGTAGCAGCCATTCAAAAATGGTGGTCAATGCATTAATTTTGACATAGTTAACAGTTTGGAAAAGTATAATTTACCTATATATCAATTTTTATTTAAATCCTAGCATAAAGATATGTTTTTCAAAATCTGGTATCTTTTAAACAACAACAAAAAAATTTTTTTAAATAATTTTTTTGACACCAGGAATCAATTTATAGTAGAATATTATATCATTATATCAGTTCTCAGCATAAATAGAATGTTTCTCAAGTTTTATGATATATTAAAACAAAAGCCAAGTTTTCCCAAAGCTGATTTGCAAATTTTCTCAAAATAAAAAAAATATTGAACATCAATAAAATATGCACAACTGTGCAATATTTAATTAGTATCCTAAGCTATACTTTTGTTTTCAAAAAAACCAATAAACTGTTATCACAGAGATATGTCTCGCCTTTTTGTAATTTTGATAATGCAAATGTTGAAATTAAAATAGCAATACTTTAACATGTAAGTTATGCAAATATTCAAAGTCGATGAACCATGACTGAAGGTACATGGCTAAACAATCTCCATGGAATGAGATGTGCCAATGCTAATACAACTGCATACCAAATATCATTGACTTATTATAAGTCGTTTCCTTTAAACAAACATAAACACAAACATTAACTTGTAAACTATGTAAAAGTTTCAAAGTCAATGAACCATGATCAGGGGTGAGGCTATATAATCTCCATGGAAACGATACTTGCAAATGCCAATAAATTTGCATACCAAATATCATTGACTTAACATTAGCAGTTCATCTTAAACTGATCTAATCACAAACTAATACATGTAAACTAAGCAATAGTTTTAAAGTAAATAGACCATGACTGACGTGGCGGGTCCAAATATTCTCCATGGAAATGAGATGTGCTAATGCTTATACAACTGAACACCAATTAACATTGGCCTACCACTAATGGTTCCCCTTGAACTGACCTAATCACAAACTAATACATGTTAACTTAGCAAAATTTTCAAAGTCTATAGACCATGACTAAGGGGGCGGAGCCAAATATTCTCCATGGAAATGAGATATGCCAATGCTTATACAACTGCATACCAAATATCCTTGACCTACCACTAGTGGTTCCCCATTAATTGAACTAATCACAAACTAATACATAGTTGACACCGCCGACGCCGGGAAACAGCATACCTTTGTCTCACTTTTTGACTCCGTCAAGGCGAGACAAAAACCATTTCATAAAATGTGTAATTTATTAACAATATCTAAAATATTAAATGGCAAATTATCACCAAACAAAAATATATGCAATCTACATTCAATGTATTACGCACAACAACTGTGCAATATTTCATTGACATCCTACCAATATTTTTGGAATTTTTGTGTTTATAAAAACTGTTTCTCAGAATGTGTGATTTTTAAACAAAAAAAATATAGTTATTATTCCCACAAAAATATTCACCTTTTTACAAAAAAATAATATGCATATCTACATATAATGCAAAAACAAAGTTCTGCAAAATTTTATTAGCATCCTATCCATTCTTTTGGAGATAATTATAATAATTGTTGACAGACATACAGGCAAAGTAAAAACTATAGGGCTGCCTTATCCTTCATGCAGGGCCATTATTATATCTTTAAATACTTTATATGTATACATGTACATATAACTATTACCAAATTCCATGATTTTCTATTGAATAACTGTCTGTATGTACACTTACAAATAAATCAATCTAAATATTAGTCTTAATCAATCAAGACATGGAGACAATGAATGATATTAACTTTCACAATTCCTCTGGGATTTTCACTCAAACAACAGGAAATCAACATTTTACACTTATAATTAGAGACAATCACTTACACTTGGATTTTATTTACACAAAACCAATCAAAATATATGAATTAATGAAATTTATCTATTTAAACGCCAGGAGGTATGATAAGAGACATTATCTGGCCCATGAAATTACAAAAACAGTTAAATTCTTCAATGCTTTAAAATTAAGTTGAATCTATTTAGAAATTGATTTGATGATCTAGTCAGTGCTTAATGTCAATTGTGATGTCACTATGATGTCAAAAGCATAAAAAAACTGATATATTTGACATAAAATGGCCATTTTAAGAATTTTTCTCAAAATCAGAAATGAGCCACAGCCAAACCCAAAAAGATATGTTACCCACATTAACAATAACATATATTTGCATTAGACATCTTGTAGTAAAATGTGTTTTTTTGGGTAAGGCTTTGGCTCATATTTTAATAATAAACCACTATCAGCTTTTATTATGCAAAAAGTAAAATAACAATGAAATGCTCCGCTGGGCGCAGCTTGATACAACCGCAGAGGTCGAACCCTGAACAGTTGGGGCAAGTATGGACACAACATTCAAGCTTGATACAGCTCTGAATTTGGATTGTGATTAAATATTTGACACAGCATAGGTTTCTGACACAGAATCAATGTGGTCTAAGAACTTAAAAATTTTCAATTTACCTATTATGGTCCAATATCCAAAATCTAAATACATACACGGTTAGATTCAGCATATCAAATAACCCCGAGAATTCAATTTTTGTTAAAATCAAACTAAGTTTAATTTTGGACCCTTTGGACCTTAATGTAGACCAATTTGAAAACGGGACCAAAAATTAAGAATCTAAAAACTCGGTTAGATTCAGCATATCAAAGAACCCAAATATTTCAATTTTTGATGAAATCAAACCATATCAATATTATTTGCCTTTATATATAAATCAAAAATAACCAACTTAAAATGGAAGATTTTAAAGAAAAAAAAAGGAAAAAAAAGGGAAAAAAAATCCCTCCCCCCTAAATTTTTTTTAACCCCCTTATGATTCATCACTCCCGATCTCAATCCCAGCCTTCCCTAAGTGGTATGGTACCTTGCAGTACAATTTCAGAGAGATCCATACACTTGAACACAAGTTATTGTCTGGAAACTAGAAAAATGCTTATTTTTGGCCCCTTTTTGGCCCCTTGTTCCTAAGCGTTTTGGGCAATTAACCCCAAACTCAATTTCAGCTTTCCCTTTGTGATATGGAACCTTGTAGTACAATTTCAGAAAGATTCATACACTTACACACAAGTTATTGTCATGAAACTAGAAAAATGCTTGTTTTTTGCCCCTTTTTTGGCCCCTAATTCCTAACATTTTGAGGCAATTACCCCCAAAATCAATCCCAGCATTCCCTTTGTGATATGGAACCTTGTGGTACAATGTCAGAGAGATCCATACACTTAAACACAAGTTATTGTCTGGAAGTTACAAAAATACTTATTTGTGGCCCCTTTTTGGCCCCTAATTCCTTAACTATTAGTACCATTTCCCCCAAAATCAATCCCAACCTTCCTTTTGTGGTATTGAACCTTATGGTAAAATTTCATAGAGATCCATTCACTTAAACTTAAGTTATTGTGCGAAAACCAATGTGTCTTTGGACGACGATGACGATGCCAATGTCATACCAATAGGTCCGAGTACACAGTTATTTCGTAGTGCATTTCTTTTAGACAATAAATGAAAATTAAAAAAATCCCACCTGCGCTTTCTCAATAATATTTTTACAGTATGCTGTACTACTTTTGGGACAAATTATATCAAAATTATAGAAAACTTCATCGGCTCTAACTCAAAATATGGACAATTTTATGTTAAGGGGGTCTTCAAATCTTTTGACAGCTCCCGAAGTGCTAATTTTTAACATTTTTCAGCTGGACCAAATCACTACTTTACTTTAAAATTCATGACCCAAATTTTTTTACAGTGTCATTTCACCCCCCTACTTGCTATTTGAGTCATAAAACATGGAGAAATAAATTTGGAAGGGGTATAAAAAAAATTAGCAAGTAACACACTGTCCACACTAGGGACTATATTCGTGGACAACGAAAATCAAAGGACGATAACTGTGTACTCGGACCTAATAGGGTAGAAAAAGTTGACCAATCTTAATGAAACTTGGTATGACCAAAGCTTAATAAATTATAAGACTGTTTACAAAGTTTCATGGCAATAGGATATATATTATAGACAATATGACTAATTCTATATTCAACTTTGCATGTTAAATTTAGACGTTAAAATTGAAAAATTTCAACTATCAACATTTGGGGCTTAAAAAATTAAAATATTGCAAAAAAATACTTTTGAAATGCCTTAATATATAATATATAATGTATTAAAAGCAATAGAGTACTCATTTGATTTATCAGACTTAACATAATCATTAAAAAGTCAAATTTATATGCACCTGTGCCTAAAAATGGAGGTTTTCCAATGAAGGGGGGCCTTACATGAAGATGTAATATTTTCCAGCAATTTTAAATTTGTAAAGCTTTTTGGTTATAAATAATCCTTATATATGTATTTAATGTACTTTAAATGGAAAGAAAACTTACAAATAACATATCATATTAGTTTAAAAGGGTCTTAGGCCAAGTAAGACTGAAAATAATTTAGGGTCAATTTAGGCCGTAGCACATATTTACATTTAATAAAATGCTCCGCAGGGCGCAGCTTGATACGACCGCAGAGGTCGAACCCTGAACAGTTGGGGCAAGTATGGACACAACATTCAAGCTTGATACAGCTCTGCATTTGGATTGTGATTAAATATTTGACACAGCATAGGTTTCTGACACAGAATGAATGTGGTCTAAGAACTTAAAAATTTTAAATTGGACATTCACCTATTATGGTCCAATATCCAAAATCTAAATACATGGTTAGATTCAGCATATCAAAGAACCCCAAGAATTCAATTTTTGATGAAATCAAACAAAGTTTAATTTTGGACCCCGATTTGGACCAACTTGAAAACTGGGCCCATAATCAAAAATCTAAATACATGTTTAGATTCAGCATATCAAAGAACCCTAAAAATTCAATTTTTGTTAAAATCAAACTAAGTTTAATTTTGGACCCTTTGGACCTTAATGTAGACCAATTTGAAAACGGAACCAAAAATTAAGAATCTAAATACACGGTTAGATTCGGCATATCAAAGAACCCCAATAATTCAATTTTTGATGAAATCAAACAATGTTAAATTTTGGACCCTTTTGACCTCAATGTGGACAAAGTTGATAACAGGGCCCAAAAATCAAAAATCTAAATACATGGTTAGATTCAGCATATCAAAGAACCCCATATATTCAATTTTTGTTGAAATCAAACAAAGTTTAATTTTGGACCCCGATTTGGACCAACTTGAAAACTGGGCCCATAATCAAAAATCTAAATACATGTTTAGATTCAGCATATCAAAGAACCCTAAAAATTCAATTTTTGTTAAAATCAAACTAAGTTTAATTTTGGACCCTTTGGACCTTAATGTAGACCAATTTGAAAACGGAACCAAAAATTAAGAATCTAAATACACGGTTAGACTCAGCATATCAAAGAACCCCAATAATTCAATTTTTGATGAAATCAAACAAAGTTAAATTTTGGACCCTTTGGACCTCAATGTGGACCAATTTAAAAAGGGCCCAAAATCCAAAAACTTAATACACGGTTAGATTCAGCATATTAAAGAACCCCAAGAATTCAAGAATAAAACCCCATTGAAATTGATCAAGAAATAAGCAATTTATACGAAGTATCTTCTTTTGCACAATACTGTGCAATTGAATATTTCTTGCTATTGCGCAATACTGTGCAATTGACAATTTCTTGCTATTGCGCAATATTGTGCTATTGGATATTTCTTGCTATTGCGCAATACTGTGCAATTGAAGATTTCTTGCTATTGCGCAATACTGTGCAATTGAAGATTTCTTGCTATTGTGCAATACTGTGCAATTGAAAATTTCTTGCTATTGCACAATACTTATTAGATAATAATTTACACATCCTGTTTGGTGTGTATCTCCTACCATATCATTATTATTTGCTTTTAAATATTAATCAGAAATAACCAACTTAAAATGGAAAATTTTAAAAGAAAAAAAAAGGAAAAAAAGAAAAAAAAAGAAAAAAAAAAAATCCCCCCCCAAATTTTTTGAACCCCCTTATGATTCATCACCCCCAAACTCAATCCCAGCCTTCCCTTTGTGGTATGGTACCTTGCAGTACAATTTCAGAGAGATCCATACACTTGAACACAAGTTATTGTCTGGAAACTAGAAAAATGCTTATTTTTGGCCCCTTTTTGGCCCCCAATTCCTAAATGTTTCGGGCAATTACCCCCAAACTCAATTCCAGCTTTCCCTTTGTGATATGGAACCTTGTAGTACAATTTCAGAAATATCCAAACACTTACACACAAGTTATTGTCATGAAACTAGAAAAATGCTTGTTTTTTGCCCCTTTTTTGGCCCCTAATTCCTAAAATTTTGAGGCAATTACCCCCAAAATCAATTACAGCCTTTCCTTTGTGATATGGAACCTTGTGGTACAATGTCAGAGAGATCCATACACTTACACACAAGTTATTGTCTGGAAGTTACAAAAATGCTTATTTTTGGCCCCTTTTTGGCCCCTAATTCCTTAACTGTTGGTACCATAACCCCCAAAATCAATCCCAACCTTCCTTTCGTGGTATTGAACCTTATGGTAAAATTTCATGGAGATCCATTCACTTAAACTAAAGTTAGAGTGCGAAAACCAATGTGTCTTCGGACGACGCCGGACGACGCCGACGACGACGACGCCGGACGACGACGACGCCGGACGACGACGACACCAACGTCATACCAATATACGACTAAAAAATTTTTAATTTTTGCGGTCGTATAAAAATGCATATTGAAGCTATAGGAAATAAAAATTTGTGTCTTTTCTATCATTTCTATACTCAGGTGACATGATACAATAAATCTGAGCACAAAAAGACTGTTGCATTCAACTTTTTTTGCAGACAGTATGGTCTGATACAAAGATTTTTCACTTTTTAGTGAAAAACATGCATGCAATTTTAGTCTCATTAGGCTAATATTTGAACCACTTGCTATCCTAAAGAAGAAAAGAAAGATATTATGTGACATGAAACAGGTACAAAAGACATTGTTAAGTGCTTTTTATACAAATTTAGTGAGGTCTTTATTATGGACTTCAACTTTTATGTTCCAAGCTCCTCACATTTAACTTGATCCAAACAGGGCGTTAGACGAGGGTCATATACACAACACATTTTGCACATATTGTATGAGATAATCTTCTTTTCTGTAGATTCAGAGTTCACAAATGAGTAATACAACTGAATTGAAGCATAGAAACACAAATATTTACACATAAAAACCTGTTGGATAGAAAGTCAGAATGCCACTTATGCATCAAAATTGAAAAAGCTATGAAATGCTTATTTTGACCATAAAATGCCCAAATTGGTCATTTTTGCAGAAATTCTATGAAATAAAAGTTTAAATACTTTAGTTTTATGCTATTTGACAAATTGACACCATCAAATCATTCGGGGAAGTTGCCAAAGTACAGATTCTATATTTCCTGATTTCACCTCTTAGGTCCGAGTACACAGTTATTTCGTAGTGCATTTCTTTTAGACAATAAATGAAAATTAAAAAAATCCCATCTGCGCTTTCTCAATAATATTTTTACAGTGTGCTGTACTACTTTTGGGACAAATTATATCAAAATTATAGAAAACTTCATCGGCTCTAACTCAAAATATGGACAATTTTATGTTAAGGGGGTCTTCAAATCTTTTGACAGCTCCCGAAGTGCTAATTTTTAACATTTTTCAGCTGGACCAAATCACTACTTTACTTTAAAATTCATGACCCAAATTTTTTTACAGTGTCATTTCACCCCCCTACTTGCTATTTGAGTCATAAAACATGGAGAAATAAATTTGGAAGGGGTATAAAAAAAATTAGCAAGTAACACACTGTCCACACTAGGGACTATATTCGTGGACAACGAAAATCAAAGGACGATAACTGTGTACTCGGACCAATATACGACCGCAAAAAATGTTTGCAGTTGTATAAAAAATCATATTCGGTCAAATGCTCTTTCGAGCTTGAGTTGTATAGTTTTATAAATGCAGAATCAAAATAAAATGTTCTTATCTTATCTTATAAAATCACTGAATAATCCATCCATACATGATTTATAACTTAAGTAGAAGGGATTTTTTTTGCTGGGTTGCTGTTTCATTGATGCATAACCCACATCTCCCTTTATTCATCTTTATAAAAAGAAGTACATGCATTATGGGGATAAATTCTAACTTACATTTGTTATTGCAACTATGACTGCCTTGATAATTTCTGTCCAGTTACGATTCTGGGAACTACGCGACTGTAACTTCTCCATTAACATGCGTAGTTCATTAAAGTCATCTGGAGTCAATACTGAAATAAAAATGAATAATCAGTAGCAACAAGCAACATAAACCATCTCATTGTCATTGCAGTGATTTAATTACTATTCAATAAAAACAAAATGAAATTCTTATATAAAAGCTTTGTTCAAGACAGTTTTAAATTTTCCAAGCCAAAGCTATGAATATTATTTTCAATACTTTTTATGAACATACAAACGTACCGGTACATCTCAAATACACTTCTGAAAAAATATTTTCAAAGTCTTATTAATTCTATTACATTTAATTAACATTCATTCCTTTTCACACAATTCATTTGAAAAATCCAAAGACATTAATTTTTATCCTACAATAACATTCCATTTTTTCAATTGCTAGTATCTTAAACTAGAGGCTCTCAAGAGCCTGTGTCGCTCACCTGTATTTACTCAGATGCTTTGGAAATCATGTAAAATAAGGTTAAAATCATAATTAATAGTATTAGATATTAGATATTATAGTGATATCTAAGATAATAACAAAAAACTGCAAAATTTTTGAAAAATTACTAACTCAGGGGCAGCAACCCAACAACGGGTTGTCTAATTCGTCTGAAAATATCAGGACAGATAAATCTAAATCTGATGAACATTTTTGCCACCTGTCAGATTTGCTCTAAATGCTTTAGTTTCAGAGATATAAACCAAAAACTGCATTTTACCACTATGTTCTATTTTTAACCAAGTTGGCCATGATGGTTGGAAGGCGGGGTCATTGGACAAATTTTTTAAACAAGATATCCTAATAATGATTATGGCCAAGTATGGTTAAATTTGTCTAGGTAGTTTCAGAGAAGAAGATTTTTGTAAAAGATTACAAAAATTTACGAAAAATTGTTAAAAATTGACTATTAAGGGCAATAACTCCTAAAGTAGTTGACTGACAATTTTGGTCTTGACAACTTATTTGTAGATCTTACTTTGCTGAACATTATTGCTGTTTACAGTTTATCTCTATCTATAATAATATTCAAGATAATAACCAAAAACTGCAAAATTTCCTTAAAATTACCAATTCAGGGGCAGCAACCCAACATCAGGTTGTCAGATTTGTCTGAAAATTTCAGGGCAGATAGATCTTGACCTGATTATCAGTTTTACCCTATGTCAGATTTACTCTAAATGCTTTGGTTTCAGAGATATAAGCCAAAATCTACATTTTACCCCTATGTTCTATTTTTAGCCATGGTGGCCATCTTGGTTGGTTGGCGGGGTCATCGGACACATTTTTTAAACTAAATACCCTAATGATGATTGTGGCCAAGTTTGGTTAAAATGTGTCCCAGTGGTTTCAGAGGAGAAGATTTTTGTAAAAAGCTAACCACGGCGACGACAACGCCGACGGACAACGGACGCCAAGTGATGAGAAAAGCTCACTTGGCCCTTCGGGCCAGGTGAGCTAAAAATGATACACAGACCTACATGTACATGTATATATAATTTCACATTCTCTATTGAACAAGATGTCCTCCAGTTTGAAGCCCTAATTGTAACTTTGAGGTAACCATTGTTGAACTTATAAGGATAGCTAGAACAAATGAAATTGATGTAAGAAAAATGTATTCTAATGTATGTGGCTTTCAGGCTTTGACCTGCCACATTCTGTGCCTTTTTCCCAATCTATCAAAAATCATGGCAAAAGTGAAAGTCGTCAATATCAAACTTGACCTCCACTTTGTCATCAGTAACAACATATGAAAATCTGAAAAACTTTGTTTAAACACTTCATACGTTAATGCACCGAAAAGCCATAAAGTGCCATTTTCCAACCTATCATCAATCTATCAAGAACCATAACTCTTGAACAGTAGAAATATATTTACTAAAGTTATAGGACACAATAGGTAGCATTGTTCAAATATTTGTTCACTATAAACAGGTGTTTGTGATCATGCTAAGCACATGTGTGATTGGGTGGCATATACCTACAATGCAGCTTTTACAGGTACATGCATATGCAGTTAATGAAAATCGTGATAAGCATGATTGAGTGTTAATACTTAAGGAGTTATTCAAAGTTTCCCAATTAGCCTGTGTAGCAGCAGTTTGTGATTAAGTTTACAATCCTGCTCACCCTTTTTGAGTTGATAATTGTGTATGTGGAAAAACAATTACTGTAAATTCAGAAATTATTGCGTGCATTTATTATAGCGATTTGTGAAGAAAGAAAAAAAAAAGCGAGATTAATTTTTGCGATTTCAGGAAAATCTTCAAACATATGTTTGTATCAGATATCAGAATGCGAGTTCTTATTATCGCGATACTCACTCAGTCGCATTATTTGCATAAATAAAAATCTCGCAATGATTTCTGAATTTACAGCATGTTAAATTATAGTAATATGTCACCTCCATTTCGTCTGACAGGAGTAACATTTTAAAATTTGAAAATAAATTTGAGAATGGAAATGGGGAATATGTCAAAGAGACAACAACCCGACCAAAGAGCAGATAACATTTTAAAATTTGAAAAGCACTGGTTAAACGGTTCATAACTTATTCAAGAAAACTATTGGCAGCTGCCTGCCCACTTCCGTACTTCACCATTTTAATAACCGCTTTTTTCCCTCAAAAAATCATGTGAAAAATTCATATCTATTAATATAAATTCAAAATCATTGAAACACTGGTTTATTTGTAACATTAGGATTATTCCTTTTTAACCAAGTTTTATTACTGATCTGTTTTCAAAGGCTAGCAGTGTTTCAAATAGCACTTTTTAACTGATGAATCGAAGAATTTTTACTCTAAAATATTTCAGTTATAACTATAAAACAGGTGTTTACATGCACAGAAAAGGTTGAAATTTTATATTTTAAAGGCAATTTTATTAGTGCTGCATTAACAAACATTTCATTAATAATTTACACAAAATCAATATAACTTAAAATTTCTATTTTCAATCTAATATGATCAGAGATACTCAGATAGGAAATGGCCATAATAGTCTGATACTATCTGAAATATTCTTCTTGTTTTCATAAGTTTTTAAACATTCAGATATCTAAAGCATTCTACTAGTATAGTTAGCAATAGATAATTACAAGTAGTTATAGAGTTATATACTTTTTCATGACTTATTTTCATCACATGCACCTTTTGTTAGTCCACTGAATGAGATTAAAATAGGGGAGGAATGAGATTAAAATAGGGGAAGAATGAGATTACAAGAGGCTCTCAAGAGCCTGAATCGCTCACCTGTATTTCCGAGAAGATTTTTAAATGTTAGCAAACTTGATGAACAAATTGTGTAAAATTGTCTTTAAAGGGCAATAACTCCTTAAGGGGTCAATTGACAATTATGATCATATTAACTTTTTTGTAGATCTTACTTTGCTGAACATTATTGCTGCTTACAGTTTATGTATATCTATAATAATATTCAAAATAATCTTTAAAAACTGCAAAATTTTGTTAAAACTACCAATTCGGTGGCAGCAACCCAACAATGGGTTGTTCGATTCATCTGAAAATTTCAGGGCTGATAGATCTTGACCAATTAAACAATTTTACCCCATGTCATATTTGCTCTAAAAGATTTGGTTTTTGAGATATAAGCCAATAAAATGCTCCGCAGGGCGCAGCTTGATACGACCGCAGAGGTCGAACCCTGAACAGTTGGGGCAAGTATGGACACAACATTCAAGCTTGATACAGCTCTGAATTTGGATTGTTATTAAATATTTGACACAGCATAGGTTTCTGACACAGAATGAATGTGGTCTAAGAACTTAAAAATTTTAGATTGGACATTCACCTATTATGGTCCAATATCCAAAATCTAAATACATGGTTAGATTCAGCATATCAAAGAACCCCAAGAATTAAATTTTTGATGAAATCAAACAAAGTTGAATTTTGGACCCTTTTGATCTCAATGTGGACAAAAATGATAACAGGGCCCAAAAATCAAAAATCTAAATACATGGTTAGATTCAGCATATCAAAGAACCCCATATATTCAATTTTTGTTGAAATCAAACAAATTTTAATTTTGGACCCCGATTTGGACCAACTTGAAAACTGGGCCCATAATCAAAAATCTAAATACATGGTTAGATTCAGCATATCAAAGAACCCCATATATTCAATTTTTGTCGAAATCAAACAAAGTTTAATTTTGGACCCCGATTTGGACCAACTTGAAAACTGGACCCATAATCAAAAATCTAAATACATGGTTAGATTCAGCATATCAAAGAACCCCATATATTCAATTTTTGATGAAATCAAACAAAGTTTAATTTTGGACCCTTTTGATCTCAATGTGGACAAAGTTGATAACGGGGCCCAACAATCAAAAATCTAAATACATGGTTAGATTCAGCATATCAAAGAACCCCATATATTCAATTTTTGTTGAAATCAAACAAAGTTTAATTTTGGACCCCGATTTGGACCAACTTGAAAACTGGGCCCATAATCAAAAATCTAAATACATGGTTAGGTTCAGCATATCAAAGAACCCCATATATTCAATTTTTGTTGAAATCAAACAAAGTTTAATTTTGGACCCCGATTTGGACCAACTTGAAAACTGGGCCCATAATCAAAAATCTAAATACATGGTTAGATTCAGCATATCAAAGAACCCCATATATTCAATTTTTGTTGAAATCAAACTAAGTTTAATTTTGGACCCTTTGGACCTTTATGTAGACCAATTTGAAAACAGAACCAAAAATTAAGAATCTAAATACACGGTTAGATTCGGCATATCAAAGAACCCTAATAATTCAATTTTTGATGAAATCAAACAAAGTTAAATTTTGGACCCTTTGGACCTCAATGTGGACCAATTTAAAAACGGGGCCCAAAATCCAAAAACTTAATACACGGTTAGATTCAGCATATTAAAGAACCCCAAGAATTCAAGAATAAAACCCCATTGAAATTGATCAAGAAATAAGCAATTTATACGAAGTATCTTCTTTTGCACAATACTGTGCAATTGATTATTTCTTGCTATTGCGCAATACTGTACAATTGAC